GACGAGCTGGCGGGCCCGATCACGCGACTCATTAGCACCTCGGGCGGGGAGGGGGGGCAGGGGCGTGGGCGGAACACGGGAGGCACCGGCGCAATCTGGGGTGCGATCGCCTCCCGCTCCGCTTCGAGCTTAATTGCACTCCCCCCCCTCCTGCAACCCTGCTGCCGCCGACTCGCGGTGCACGCGGCTTCTGACGACAGGGGGAGTAATCATGTCGAACGACCTTATCCGAGCAATCCTAGAAGCAAGTAACTACATTATGAATCCTGTACCCCTTTTGTAAACGTTCGCAAGGAATCGGTAGTGACAGTGACGGCGTCCCAGGCAGAGGCAGAGAAGGCTGTAGTCAGCACAGGTAGCGACCGCTGCGGAGGCGGTTGGGCCAGTGGGATAGGGATCGCCCCGAGGGCCTCAGCCACCTCCTCCCCGCGGAGACATTCAGCCGGTGAAACAATGATCCCCCGTCCTAATCAACGCCCCCCGGTGTGCTGTAATTAATGGAGAAGCAAACGCTATTTGAACAGAACGGACTCGCCAAACTAATACAACAGGCGCGGCGCGGTGCGGCGTGGCGCCGGACACTCAATTTGGGGCGAATGAGAGCTGCATATTTATAAGGCGCAATGACCGCGGCCTCGTTAGCCCGGACGGGCCGGAGCGGGCCGAAGCGAGGCGAAGCGGGCCGGAGCGAGGAGGATGGGGGCAGGCCCTGGGGCGTCTGGTGGGGTGCGGGGCGCGGTCCGAGGACCGAAGCTGCGCGACGCAGGTGGGCGTGTCCCGCCCCGCCCCGCCTCTTCCCGCTCGTCCGCTTGACAAAGCAATAAGCGTCCGACGCGCGTCCCCTCCGGCGCGACGCGGCGGGGCGCGGAATGGGACGGGACGGGACGGGACGGAAAGGGGAGCGGCCGGAGGCGACACGACATACGCACGGACGGAGAGGCGGACGGCGCCAGGAACCTGGCGGGAAGGGAGAAAACCCATACATCGACTGTGCAACACTATCACTACGAAGGAATGCAATACAAACCTCCGAGATTTCAGTCATGCAATAAAGCACAATGAGCAAAATGCTGGTCAGCAGCGCAGTGAGCGAGTCGGGAATAGGGGACGGAATGGTTTAAGACACAACAGAAATCACTGAAAATTGTAAGCGACAGGAAAAGAGTAGACAATAATGAATGGTAAGAGACGTTTATATTACTAACTTCCAATGCGAACAGAAAATGAAATAAAACTTAAGCGCTACCCTGTTATTGAGAGGTTTTTATGGTTTTGTAGCATGCCCAGGAAGGGAAGTGCAGTATTTGTAATACGGTTTTTGTTGAAGTATTTAATTTATTACGTACAGTGTATTTTGTTATTCTTGAGCAGTGTGCACGCGATGTTTTGAAAAAAAAAGTGTGTTGTTTTGTCCTTCAGCATTTATGCTGCTGCAAGCCATTAGTATTCAGTAAAAGTCATCATACAAAAACATAAGTGTGTCAGAGCGAAAAATGTTGAGAAGTGCGAGCGAGAATAGAAAAACAATGCTACGAAATGATTCATTTTAAATAGAGAACTACAAAAAAACAAAAGAAAAAGTGTGGTAAATTACGACACTAATGAAATGGCACCATTTGAAAAACTGAGAAAAATGGTGAAACGATATAAGGAAATGAAAATACTTAAAGAGCACATGCAAGGCAACATAAGACGAAGGGGTGGAAAGTCGAATAAAACGTAAAGAAGCATAGAGGTTACGTATTCGTCACTGCGAGCGCTCAGGCACGTCACGGAAGGAGTAGGACAGTGCACCCACCGGAAGAAATGCATCACGGAAGGGATCAGTACGGAAAAAAGGGGGATTGATATAGGCCGTTAGTCGGTGACAAATGGTTTGACAACCCGAAGAAACTCGTAAGGAATGACGAAGAAACCTAGTGGTGCTACTGAGTGCCACAGACTTTCTTATTTCCTTATTTCTCTATACCGAGTTAAAACTATGCGAGAAAGTAAACCTGGAGAATTCTTTAGAAAAAAATGGAAATGTTCCAGGGGATTCAAGCGAAGAATCCCGAAAATTTTACAGAAATCTTTTTAATATCATATGGCTTCGAGTCAGGTGACATCGATCGAGGAACATTCATTTTGTAAACAATCCAACGAACAGCTTAAGGCGCTAGTTTTATTCACGGACAAAGTTCTGATTGACGTTTTGAAGAAAAGAAATAAAGAAGAAAAAATATCATTATGGGCTTCAACGACGCGTATTTCCGTTAAAATTTCGAAATATATTTTCCGCTGCATTACACAACTTTTTTCTATACTACTTACATTACTTCGAAAACGTAAATGTACTTACGTATGCGCAAAAGTACAAGAGAATAAATCAGCCTCAGCATGTTAAAAACCTACGAACGCAAGGAAATAAAAATGCAGGTCTCTAATGAAGAGGCAAGTCTAAAAAGTGATTGGCAGGACGTCAATAGA